TACTTGATATATGCCTTTTATTATGATGACTTATGATTATTTAACTTTTTATATGGGTCTGTATCCCAAAAAGCAGTGTATTTTGCATCTTTGAATGTTTGGACATAACAGAATTTCAGTGAGAGAATGAAATGTATTCACGACAAATCAGCTCAAACTAGAAGGTGAAATGTCCTAATCATAAGCAATTAAGATACAATAAATCAGAGGGCTTATTGTGCCATAATTTGGTGGGGTGAGGGTTATGTGGGATGCTTGGAAACTATAGCAGATTCACAAAAGATGAAAAACTAGGCAGGAAATTGAGCTGTTGCAGCAAGGAAGTTAAAAAGGTGGCCTTTTCACAAGTGCCTAGAGAAGAAAGTGCATCAGGAGAAACTGAACTGTGGCAAATGCTGGCAGGGAGTCGAGCAATAATGATGTTTGACAAGACAGGATTCATTGTGAAATCTGATGGGAGCTATTTCAGCAGGGAGCCAAGCCCATCTACATCTTCAACAAGAACCTCAGGGAATTTGTAGGTAGGACGATTTTAGGTAACACTGAGCCATATCGTCTTAAACTTTTTACAAACGTGGGATGGGTGAAAGCTTGATACCAGACACAAACTTGAATGGCTTGTCTTTCTGCCCCAATAGATTGTTTATTTAGATGATTATTATATGTTTTTGCCTGTAAAAGCAGTCTCATTGTAACTGCAAGTAACCTGATATCTAGGTGTCTTCTGTTTAGGGACAGGAACTTCAATTAAAACATTAGTAATAAATGTTTCTAAGTTCCAGGAGGTTGCTTTCTATACTCATTTCATGAACACCAGGTAGAAAGGAGTTCTTGTTGAACAAAAAACTTGAGTAAAATGAAACCTTTTCCAAATGTTTTCTATGTAACACAAAGAATAAAGTGTTTTCAGTATGAGAACAGGAAGAAGTGCCAAGCGTGTGCACAGAATGGGTTTCCAAAGGGCAGACATCATATAGGATAAACATTATAAGAAGAAAATGGTATACAGATCTCACTGCATTGAAATTATATTTTTCCATTAGAAATTATGCTGAAAAGACTGTTTTACAAATATTTAACCCAAATATAAGCAGATCAAAATGGTTTAATCTGAAGAAATATTTGTAATATTTATTTGATATTTTCCACTGGAAATAAAGATAGCATTTTTATTAGATAAATTTGATACGTCATATTCTGTAAGTTAAAGGTGTGCAGCTTATTAATTTGATACATTTACATATTATGATTACTGTTGTGATATATATCACATTACATACTTACAGTATGATATTATTACCTATATTCATTATGCTGAATATTCAATGTCTATGGCTTATTTACTAGTTGTTACAAGATGGTGCCCTTAAGCACCATCAATCTTATTTCCCCACTCCTCAGTCCCTGTAAACACCAATTTACTCTTTGGTTATTTTTTTTTAACAGGTTTGACTTTTTTTAGATTTCACATGGACGTGATATCATACAGTATTTATCTACCTTGTCTCACTTAGCATAATGTGTTCCATGTAGTTGTAAATGACAGACTGGTCTCCTTTCTCGTGGCTGAACACTATTCCACTGTGTGATACACACATCTCTTTCATCCATTCTTCCATTGACAGGCATTTGGATTGTTTCCATGTCTTTGCTATTGTAAACAAGGCTGTGTTAAATATGGGAGTGCATATATCTCATCCAAATCTTGCTTTCATGTCCTTTGGGCAAATACCCAGAAGTGGGACTGCTGGATTGTACAGCAGATCTATTTTTAATTTTGAGGACCCTCCATGTTGGTTTCCATAGTGGCTGGGCTCATTCCCACCCACATCCCCACCCATGGTGTATGAGGCTCCCTTTCAACCACAGCCTCACCAGCACCTGCTGTCTCTTGCCTTCTTGCTGATGTGAGACGACGACACTTCACAGTGGTTTTGATTCGCATTTCCCTGATGGTCAGTGATGTGGAGCATCTTCCATTGTGTGTTGGCCAGTTTGATGTCCTGTTTAGAAAAATGTGTACTTAGTCCTGCCTATATTTTAATTGGATTGTTTTCTGTTACTAAGTTATATATTTCTTATGTATTTTGGATATTAGCCCCTTAGCCAATATATAGTTTGCAAAAATGTTCTCCTACTCGGTAGGCTATGGTTCGGTTCATTGCTTCTTTTTGCTGTGCAGAAAATGTTGAGTTGAATGTCATCCCATGTGTTGATTTTTTATTTTGTTGTTTGTGCTTTTGGTAAATGTCTAAAAATCATTGCCAAGCCCAGTATCAGTTAGCTCTTCCCTATGTTTTAGGGTATCAGGTCTTATGTTTAAGTGTTTGAGCCATTTCAAGTTTCATGACTGGTGTGAGATAAGGGGTCCAGTTTCATAGTTCTTCATGTGTTTCCCCAGTTTTCCCAACACTGTGTGTTGAGGAGAGTATCCTTACCCGTTGGGTGTTCCTGGCTCCCTTGTCAAATATTAGTGGACCATTTATGCTGGTGTTTAATTATGAGCTCTCTGATCTGTTCTATTGGCTATTTCTGTGAGTACCACACCTCTTACACGACTGTGGCTTTGTAGTATAGTTTGAAATTAGGATGTGATAACTCTGGCTTTGTTCTTTTGATCTCAGAATGGATTTGGCTATTCGGGGTCTTTTGTGGTCCCACACAGACTTTAGGATTGCTTTTCTATTTCCGTGAAGAATGCCTTCGGTATTTTCATGGGGACTGCGCCGACTCTGTAGGTAGCTTTGGGTAGCATGGCTGTTTTAACTATGTTAATTCTTCTGGTCCATGAATACAGGGTGTCTTTCCATTTGTTTGCATCTTCAATTTCTTTTAGTAAAGTCTTGTAGTTTTTATTGTGCAGATCTTTCACTTCCATGGTTAAATTTATACCCAAGTAATTTATTGTCTTTGATGCTATTATGAATGGGACAGTTTTCTTTCTCCTTCTTAGGCTTTATCATTAGTGAAAGAAAGCAACTGATCTATATGTTAATTTCATATCTTGCCACTTTACTGATATCATTAACTAATTCCAAGTTTTTTTTTTAATTGACTCTTTGGAATTTTCTATGCATAAAATCATCAGCAAATAGAGACAATTCTCCTTCTTACTTTCCACTTTGGGTGCCTTTTATTACTTTGTCTTGCCTAATCACTCTGGCTAAGACTTCCAGTCCTATGCCTTGAATAGGAGTGGTGAGAGTGGGCATCCTTGTCTAATTCCTGATCTTAGAGGGAAAGCTTTCTTAGTAATAATTAGATACAAACAGCATCAACTGAAAAAGGCTTACAAATGGTCTTATAGAACAACAGATTCTGAACTGGAAGCTTCCTGCTCTCAGCTCTATTTCTGAGAATAATAGCTGAATAAAAGCGTAACACGAGCCCGATAGTTAGAAAAGATAATTGTGTTTGTAGGTGTGGGCATTCACACAGATCACACAGACATACTGTGTAGGAATGATTTCTATCATGTAGGGTGATGGGTTTGAAAAAGTCAGTTGGTAATTAATAACCCTCAGGGGGGGTTAATTGTTATTTTCCATTTTTATGAGCTTCCTTCTGAAGTCCAATAAATAGTTAATGAATCATTCAGTAGCTAAGGAGAAGAAAGCTATATTAATCAGTGCCTTTTGTACAAAATTGCTTTTTTTTATTATGACACTGATGTTTGCTGGTATCCAGGAAAGCAGTCCCAAAGCAATCTTAATAGATCCTACAAAGGGAGGTATATGTATGCAATAGATGGAAGTACGATCATGGAATTCTCAAAGGGTAAGTGGATGTGTATTTTAGAACAGATAATTGAAAAAGGCATCCTATATATTTGAACACTGCTCACTGATAACTAAAGAGTTCTTAAAACCTAAGGAATGGGATCATTTAACAACACATAGAGTGACTGGATTTCTGAATTCACTTAAAGGGCTAACATCACCATTCCCAAAGCAAGAGTTACATCATTTCTGTGGGGTGGCACCTATTCATTTCTTCCCTTCTCTTCTTAATATTCCAAATCTCATTTTTGGTTGTAATGTTTTCTGGTCATTTGCTATGTCCTTTCCCAGAAACCCTGGCCAATTTAAAAGGGTAAAAATTTGTACTTTCTGATTTGAAATTTTAACATCACATGGATCTCACACTGAACTCTGCCCAGTGGACGTGAGGGTCACTCCGTGGTAACAGACAACTTGGAGTGAAGAATTTATGGAGGAAGGGAAGTGCTATTTGTAAGACCTATAGCTGTTGATAAGCATGAAAAACAGTTGAAAAGTATATAATTAATGTCCTGAGCTTACCAAACTCCCTCTTACTCAGAGATAGTTTGAGGCAAAGTGAGAATTTCAGAAGTTAATACAGCAAACAGAGCTCTAATCTCTAACCTACATGAGGATGATCAGGCCCCGAAAATATCCTTTAGGTTACAGAGACAGAATTGCCACAATTGGTGAGAACATTCCACTTATATTAGTAATTCTTGTATTATTAATAACATAATACATTAATAATACTGACTTACTGCTAAGAAAGTATTCCCTCTAAGATCAGGAATGGGATGGTGACAAGAATGTCTCACTAGTTAGGGGAGCCCAGGAACTGGGCTCGGGGTCACACAGGGCCCCCCGTCTGTGGAGGCCCAGCTCGCCTCCCTTCGGGTTCACAGTGAGCTTTTGACCTTTGGATCTTCAGAATGAATTTTTTTTACCTGGGCGAAATTCTTTCAAAACTCTCAAGCATAATCCTGTCAGACTTCTCTCAAAGGTGTATTTTCACATATAAGAGGCAAATGATACTCCCAAACGGGAGTCAGCCCAGGGAAGGGAGAGTGTCTGCCCCGTGAGGGGTGATCACAGGCAGAATAGAGGTAACCTGCATATGGGGGTTAATGTGGGCATGGGAATTGATATAAATGCCTAAATGCTGCAAATTGCAATGCCCCAAATGTTTGCATAGATATTTTTCACCTTATCCATTTACATTTTTAAATAGACTTTATTTTTTTTAGAGCAGTTTCAGTTTACAGCAAAACTGAGCAGAAAGTGCACCCAGATACCCCCCGTCCCTGCACATGTTCCTCCCCATCGGCGTCCCTACCGCAGGGGCACACTGGGTACAAGGGACGCAAGTACACTGACAAGCCATTATCACCACAAGCCCAAATTCCTTCTTGTTCTCTCTTCCTCCTTTAAAAAAAAAATCCATTTCTATTCCCTTCAGGCCTACTTTTATTTCAATGTTTCAGAAGTTTCCAATTATTTAAATAATAGGTTTTGACAGCAAGATGAAATAGTATGTGTCTCTTAGCCTTGGTCTCATTATCCACCTTTCTTCAAAGTACTGAGGGCAGAGAATTCTAGGTGAGTTAGTTCAGGCACAGAAGGTGCCTGCTCATCTGCTGCTATCAAACGGAAGCTCCTAGCCAAGACACAGCACGACTGATACATGTCTCTGGTCTTTCTATCAATCACTTGATGGAAAAACGTATTAATGTACTTCAGGAGCCAGAATCGCATCCTGAGGCCCGACTGGTTCTCATAGGCCTTTATTCGATCACAAGGGTGGAGTCGCTCTGTCTGGCAACCAAACCCTCTCTGTGTGCAGTCGCTCAGCGCAAGCAGCTTGCATCTCAATTCTCTGCCGCCTGCACACCTTGCGGTGTCTGCCTGGGGCTGGGGGGGCGGTAACGCCCTTTCTGACATGACTTTTGGCTGTGAGCAGCATGCATTTCACCCTCTTGCATGACCTCTCCGAACACTGATTCTCACCACACTGAATTCTGCACCACTCAGGGCCACTGGAAGACTGACGCGAGTTGCTATATGCAGGGCCCGCCTGGAGGGCATTGCGTGGCTGTCGCTGACCTGCCTCTTCCCTCGTCAATCACTGTGTCCTCAGGAGCACCACTGGTGTGATGCTGGTGCCAGGTGAGCTCTGTGGGAAGACATCATAGGACAGCGAGTTTGTGCCTTGTGAAAAAAAGGGCTGAATTCAAAATAGTAAAACAATAAAGACTATTTCTCCACAGTTGGTGAAACACAAAGCGTGAAAGTCTAAATCTGTCCAATGTGAGAAGTGTCATTTATGCCCGACTTACCTGTAAGTAGCTCAGCTCTCTGCTCCTCTCCCTCCCCCCTGGGCCTTGTCTCCTTCAGACGTGGCCTCCTTAGGGAGGCCTGTCCTGACCTCTGAAGTGCGAGGGAGGACTGAGCCACAGTGGGAAATGCAGCCCAGGACGGGGCTGGCGTGGCCCCGGTGAATGGCGGAAACGGCCAGGGCGGCGGCGGGTCCACCTGCTGGATTTTCGTTGTGATTGGTTACGCGTCCCTCAGCCTGCAGCCCCGACGGTTACAGGGCTCCACACTCGATGTGCTGGGGTCGTATCAGGAGGGGACCCAGGTAAACACCTCCTGCTCACACCGCCCTGCTGCTGCTTCTCAGTCATTCATTCGTTCCTGGAACACCCGCCCTCTCGTGCATTCAGTCTACCTCCGGAGAGGGCGAGGCACCCACTATGTGCCAGGCATTGAACCACGACCGCTGGGGAAGCGATGGGGAGGCAGGCAATCCCTCCCGTGCAGAGCTTCGCCCTCATGGTGCAAACCACAAGCCGAAATACATAAACCGATCTTTGCTAGAGCAGGGAGCCGAAAGGCTGATTTTCATAAGACAGTCAAGAAAAGCCTCTTTCAGGGGCAGAATCAGTCCTACATCCCTTCAGAAGATCTGCAGCCGCAAAGGAGCTCCAGCTTCAGCTCGCCCACGGGAAGGGAAACGCCTGCTTCCATGGAGAAGAAAATGTTTTAGGAGCATGGGCGTCACAGTGGCTTGTACCCAACCTGTTTTCTGAATTTATCTGAAGAGGTGAATGACATGGTTTAGCAAACTGAATACATTATAAGTAGTAAAAAGGGCCCAAGTTTTAGATACTGGTTGGTTGAAAGATTGGTAGATTCCCTTTACTTTTCTGGGCCTTACATCTTCCTAAAAATAATAAAGACAATAAAAATATCTACCGTATTAAGCCCTGGAGTTACCCTTCTACATGTAGCCATGGCACACTGGTACAAAATATCTAATCATAATCTAAAACATTTTGTGAGAAATACCTAGCTGGGTGATATGAGCCTGATTAAAGTGTCAAAGACTCACAGTCTCAGAGAGGTTTTCGTTTATTGTTAGATATGATCCAGTGAAAAGGAAACATGACCTCAGCTCTAACTGTATCCCGGCACCATCTCCCACTCCCTCCTTAGAAAGGCCCATCTGTTGGCCACCAAAGTGTCAAATATATTTTGAACAGCCTTGGATTAATAGAATCATCAAGACATACAGGTAGGAAGAAGGGGTGGGTGCCAACAGTGTATGTGGTTTCAGTGGCACTAACACTGTTTGTAACCATTGTTCCTAGGAAAGAGCAGGACAGAGAGGGGACACACATGTCTGCTGGACCAGCTGTGGGTGTCGCTGGTCTTTGTCAGCCCTACTAACAAACTTTCTGGCTTCCTTCCCTTTCCGTGGTCCCGTGTCACTGATCCACAGCCTCGCCTCTAGCTACATCAAGATCTAGCCATTAGTTTTTTTTTTCTGTGATAAAGAATATTTTTCATGTGATCACCTAATGAGAGGAGGCGAAATGCTGGCGATTCCTAATTGATAAATACCCAGGAGTATGCGGAGCGCTACAGGCCACGGGCCCTGAATTCTGAATGACTATCAGGCTCAGGCCTACGGCACAACCGGATCAACCCCGAGCACTTTGGGTCCTTGCGGGACCGCTCATGTCCACGACTGGCACACCCTGTTCATGGCACCTTTGGGAGCTCTAGCTCTGCTGAGAATTCAGATGCTTTTGAAAGCTGGTAAAATGTGAAATGTCTCCCAGCTCTGATCAGTATAATTTGTCCTATTTCTTATGGAGTAAGTCACTACCAGGCTGGGCAAATTAGCTCAGCATGTCAAAGACTAGGTTCAGTAATGACAATAATAACAAAAACAAAGAGGATTTTGGAAGAAGAGCCAGATTCCAAGCCTAGTTCTGAACTCCTCTGGAGTCTCGGGTAAGTACCTCTTATACTAGTTGCCATATTTGTAAAACAGGAGTCCTAAGCCTGCCTACCTTCTAGTTGTGTGGAGGGGTCTGTCTGCTGAAAGCATGTGTGCCCTACAGTCGGGCATGTGACAGAATGTACAGCCAGGATCGGTATCTCCCCAGGCTGGCCGGCCACGTGGGTAGTCTGCATGGACCCGGATCCTGGGGCCCAGGCAGTCACAGGAAGGGGACGGGTTGGTGCACTTTGTTCTCTGGAGGTCTAAATTTGCAACCATGAAGGGAAAGAAAGGCCATGTCTTTATAACCACAGCAGAGTAGAGAATGTAAGACTGAATGGGACAAATGCTAACAGTGTTAAGCCTGAGTTACTGAAGTAATTGCCCACATCTACCCTTACTTTAGGGTGTGACTCTTGAATTCTCTCCAGTGTAGGAATCACACGCTTCAGTCCATTCAGGAGACTTGAGCCCCAGTTGCAGGGAGAGCATGAAGCAGCCCTGAGGCTCTGAGCCGAAGTTCTCCAGGGAAACCACCTCCTGATTCATAAATGCCCATCACCAGAATTCTCTGCAGTTTTCCACACATGACATTTCTCTGTGTTCAAAACATAATAATACTAAGCATCTGCGGGACAGTGAACTGATACCAACATCAAAACATAAACACATGAAGTAACAGGATTTTATAAGTTCTGCTTTTCATATTTTCGTTTTCATAATCTATAAAAAGAGTATAGGATAAGCAAAATGGTTGTCTCCTTCTAACTACAGAGTTTTAGCTCTTTCAACTGCATTAATCCTTCAAGATCCTCCCTCATAGTTTATAATATCATTTAAATTTTACTCCAGACATTTACCCTTTCCATATGTCCCTCGCAGGAAACGTGCCTGAGAACAGAAATTCAGGGAGACACGTGATACCCAATAATATAAAACATTTCAAAGGGAACAAAAAGAACATTCTGATGAAAACACTTGGTGGACTTGGTTTTAGTCAAATATTATCAAAGTGTCATTCCTGCGGTAACCATTATTTTACTTCCAAGGGTTTATTTTTCCTGACATTTTTTGAATGCTCTTATATTAAGAATAACAAAGGTTATTCTTTCAAGTCTTATTTCAAAAATATATAGCTGAAGTCCCTTCTCCAATTAGACTTTCCACCAGCATTTTCTGAAGCCATAGGCATTATTTGATAGAAAAGTACCATTGTTAGGACTCCAGAACCTCATAGTAGATGAGATACTGCTGAAGTTTACGTGTCACGTCATTTAAAAGATGAAAACTGACATAGAACACTGAAGGGGATCCATCAGATGATTATTAAGTATTTTTGACAGTTTGCATTTTAATCGTGGGACTGTAAGTAATGGTTAGTTTCTGAAAAATTCAGCCAGTCATATGTCTACGTATCAACAGAGAAGTATTGCTTCTGGACATACTTCTATGGCCCAGATGTGTGAGTGAGGGATGTATGATGACTCTGGGCTGGAACTTTGGATTAGGTAACGGGATGGAATGGGACAGGAAAGACTTAAGATGCCTCCTTTAGACAATCTTACAACAATAAGGAAACTGTGCCGGTGGAAACCCTCTTCATAGGCAGGAAGGCTTTATCTTCTGGACTTTCACATCAGAACATCTTTAGGACTTAAATTATTTATGCACTAACATTCTTAAAGTTTTTGCCAATAAAATGGATTTTCTTACGCTACCCGGACATTTAAATACACTCACGATAAGGATGACAAGCATGTCAGGAGCCGCCCGTCTCATCCCTCCTCGACACCCTGCAGGCACCCCCTGCCGAGTGGGCTGCTTAGTTTTCTGTGTCCCCTTGGCTGGGCCGTGGTCCCCCACTGTTGGGTCAAACCACAGACATGTTGCTGTGAAGATGCTTAACATGTACAATCAGCAGCTGTGGAGTAAAGCCCTCCCTATTGTGGGCTGCACCGACGGAGCTGCAGGCCTGCAGAGCTAAGGCCAACGTGTGCAAGATGCCCCCGGACAGCACGATCAGCTCGCCCACTTCCCTCCCACTGGCCCACCGTCCCTACTCCACACTTTTCCAGCCCCTCCTCTCCCACATCTCAGTGAATAATACCAACCGCGACTTGGTGCTAAAGTCAGATAGATATTTAGGCCATTCTTGATTTTTCTTTTCCTTTACCGCCCCCCCCCCCGCACCCAAACATCACTGTTTACCACTATTACCACTGTTTACCACTGAAAGACACATCTTGTTTGCACACTATTCCCCATTTCTTCTGTGCTCACCCCGGTCCACGATGCCAGTGTCTGGCCTGGACGATCGCCATGGCCTCCTGCAAGGTCTCCTATGCCATCTTCGTCCACTAGGCTGGTTGATCATTCAAAGGCCTCACATCAGACACAGAACAAGGCCCACATTATTAACCCTGGCTGACAAGCCCAGCATTATCTGATCCTCAGTCTGACCCTATTTATCCCTTCAGCCTCATGTCAAGCTGGTAAGCTGCTGCTCACTGCCTGAGGCTCTCTCCTCCACACCCCAACCCAGCTTTCCACGTGGGCTCTTCCCCACCCCAGGGCTGCATCCCCTGCTCTCCCCACTGCCTGAAAGCGTCCCCAATATGTCCTGACCCCTTTCCTGGCACTTAATCAGAGGGCCAGTAGGAGTTCACCCAGATCTCACCCCAAAGAACACGTTCTGTCTGGGAGGCTTTAAAAACATTTCCTTCTTGATGTATTATAAAATTTGTAAATATTTTATTTATTAGTCTATGTATTTGTATTTCTTACCACCACTGGAAGATAAGGTCTGGAAGTGGATGAATGTATCTATCATGTTCATTTTTGTGATCCCAGCAAAATCCCAATTCCTGAAACATAGGAAGCATTTTAAATGTGCTTTAAAGGAAATAAGTTATTCCATTTGCCTGAAAAAAACGCTCCTTTAGCTGCAAGCTCTTCCCCTACTATTCCCTGTGTCACTAGACCAACAGCCATTTCTCTGACAAAAACATTTTGAATTTTGACACAGATATCCAGGAAAATGAAACAAAATTGGCACAGGAAAATAGAACTTTATATCTCATGTGGGTAGCCTGAAAGATCTGGTTTGGATTTTGGATAGATGCCTAGCTAGTTAGCTAGATGAAAGGTAGATAGGTAAATAGATCTAGTTATTTAAAAAAATATTATATAAATAAATGTAATTTACATTTATATTACATTTGATGGGTATATAGATAAAATGCATACATTATGGCACAATAACACACTAGAAAAATATACTTTTCTGAAAATTGCAGTTATAAAGACCACACTGTAACAGGAGGAAATATTATGACATGGTATTCCGTTAAAATCTATAATGCAAACTGGCCATTGCAATACAACCACAGGCATATACAATGTGTATATGCATATAAATAAGGCAAGTCGCTGGCAAACATAAAAGTAGTTGTATTAGAGTTTATTATAATATACTTATTACATCTTCAAAATTATATTCATGTTTTATATAATCTCTTCTACATAAAAGCAAAAATAAGGACAAAGTGTACAATAAAAACCTCCCAAGAAATTATTGTTAAGTCAATCTTAAAAGCTGAGTCATACCAGGCTACAGGTAACAAATTTTCCTGCCGGCGGCTACAGGCACTTGAGCAGTAGTGTATCTGGGGCCATGTAAGAAGAGGTGGTTCTTAAAACAGGAGATAAAAGAGCCATTTCAGGCAATTTAAGTCAAGTATATTTTTCATAAACATTGCTGATATCTAGCCATTTGGTCTTCTATCTAGTCCCCAAACCAGCACAGCCAGAGAAACAAAATAAAAGATGAACCTTGAAGCCTGCATCCCATCAATCAAGATATGAAGATAATAAATGTTTGTCTCTTTGATGTAAAATTTTTATTTTATTATTAAAAATAGTGGAAAATAATGGTATTTCCATTTGAAACAAGTCTAAAGACCATCAACTCATTTTATCTTTCATTATTTAGGTCAAGCATGATTCTGTGAGAGGTACTGTACCACCCAGGTGGCCCCAGTATGTGAAACGCAGTTCCCACGTTCATTAAAGACCCCAGTGGACAGCACGCCTTGGTCCTGGGGGCGGCCCCGCCCACAGCCGGGGGCAGGGGGCGCTCGGAGGCAGGAGCCTGGCCTTCCAGGAAGAGCCCTCCGTCTGTCTGCAGAGGACATCTGTACCCCGGAGGATGCATAGGGTTTCACCAAACACAGAAGAGAGGGAAAGAACAAATGAAACAGAGGTTTTAAAATATCATCATTCTTGACTGGAGGAGACACAAGATTAAAGAAAAGGAACTAGTATTTTCTTTTTCATACAGAACTGACTTGTCCCTTAATAAGGACCCAGTAGTTCATTTGTTCAGTTATATATATACTTCACAATGGGCAAGGAATCTTATTAAACATATTAGAAAAATAAAAATAACATTCTTTGTTTAAAAACTTCAAGGCAAAAATATTACCAGAAGAGATCAGAATATACTTGGGCAGAAAGAAATGATTTGCTATTGCATAGGAGATTTTTTTAAAACGTGTTAGGTTCATGGCAAGTTGTATTCTACCTGCAGAGTGGCAGAAAACTGTTTTTGGATTTATTTTTAAAATATAACTTCAGCAGTTTAGTTTTCATATGTGCAATTGATTTGTTTTCCTTTTTAAATGCTGATGCTGTCATTACATGAGACAATAAATGTTAGTGAACAATGTAATTTTAATACAGAATAGCATCTGCTTCAAGGCAGTCAGAGCCACTTGTGAGAAATCTTTCATACCTAAATCATAAATACATGCTTCTTGTTATGCAAGCTCTCCCTGCTACAATATGGAAGGATCATGAAAATCATGGCCTTTTAATTAATTTGATGTCTTGACATGGACAAAATGCAAGAAACATTAGCAAATTCGTAGAACACTTCAGACGTATACGTGTAATTAAAACCCGTTTCTATTTTGGAGAAATGATGTCAGAAGCTTCACTGCCCACTTATGACCTCTTTTCCACGCGCATTTGCACGAGGGCAGTCTAACATCAGGTGCCCCGAGCGGTCGGGCCGACCGTGTGGGGGAAACACCACCATGCTCCTCGTCGGGGTTCCATGCCTCGATTCCACGGAGTTCTCCTAGTTCATGTGTTTTTCATTTTAAGTTCTGCCTCCTTGAATGCTATTTCCTCTCTGCTGGCTTTCACCAAGGTCAAAGGAATCTTCAGCAAATAAAAAATGCAAACAGCCAGTCACGTACTGGAAATCTGCCCACCCAGTGTCTAAAGAACCTTAACTTTAAAGTTAACGAGTTCATTTAGCCACAACCAAGTCAACAACAAGATTCTAATGGTCAAGAGCAAAGAACAATCATATGATGTACTGAAGATATTAACTGTGATGACTTTAGCTAATGTCCCTCGTTTGTGTTCAGTCTCTGGGGACGTCCGTGGGGCCGCTCATCCCAGGGACAATCGCTCTCTAAACAGCATCCAGGCGAAAGATTCTCTCATTCACCTCGGAACACACCCGGCCCTCCGCTGCCTACAGGGCAGCTCTGCTCCACGACGTTCACCCAGAGGCAGAATGGGGCCCCCAGGATTCTCCTGCCAACAGACCAGCAATGCGGCACAGCCTCAGGGGGGATCTCCGCCCTGCACGCATGCCCCCTCGCAGTATCCGCGGGCCGGGAAGCCTGAACGTGACATGTGAATACGGCCTTGCAGAAACCTTCAGTGAAATTTTAAAAAGTCGTGTGCCCTGGGAATGGGAAGTGTCCAGTTACTCATCACCAGATAAAGAAATGACCGGGATTCCATTTTCAAAGGAGCTACCCAATTACCCACACGCTTGCTGTCTCATTATGAACACATACATGTATGTTGAGCAGTTGGGATTTTATCACTAAACTGAAGCTGAACTCAATTTTATAAATTAGAATACATTAAAGAGCCTCTCTGACCATCCACATTATAAGCAGGTTTCAAAGACATTTAGAAATGCGGTTCCTGCTTCCCAAAAAGCAGCTGACACGTGCGATTTCACATCGCAGCCTCCAGCTCACATACTCCTCCATTTTGGTGTCTTCTTATGTTAGATGTTTATATGTTAAATCTAAGCCAGAGGCTCACAGGACTAAATTACTCGCCGTTATAGCATTTTCCCACATAAAATGTGGAGAAACAGCCTCCTGGAAGTCATTAAAAATACATTTCTAAGTATATGATTCTGATATAAATGTTCCAAAGAACAATTCAGTGTAAAAATATTGGACTCCTTTGGCTTGTTAAAACAAATTGTATGCTAATAACACGAAGGAATTTTTAAAAATCCATATTCCTCTTCTGTTATCTCTTGATATTTCTCCATTTTCTAAAATGAATTTAATTATTCATTCAAGAAACATTTTGAGGACTTGTATGTCCCCAGCATCATGCAAAGCACAGGAGACCTTCTGGTGAGCGAGAGGACACAGTCCCTGGGGCGGGCGCAGGCTGCAGAGCAGTGATTAGGAGGTGACGTATCGCCAGGACTGGGTGTAGTTTGGACGGAGGCAGGGACAGAGAGAAGTCCCTGAAGACGATTAGACTTTCGGAGTTGACAAGAACGCATATGGCCGCCTCATTCTCAAAGTTAGAAAAACAAACGGAGCAGGCCCAGGGGGGTGGGACCAAAATGGAAAGTTACTTGGGGTGCCACGCCTGCAGGAATCTAGACATCCACGTGCAAGAGGCAAGATCAGACATGAAATATAATTTAGAAGATGAATATGACTGTCCAGACGTGAAGATAGAATGACAGATGACATAGGACCAAATCCTGAGAGTCACTAACCTCTGTTAAAGATGGAGGCAGAGGAGTCCGGAAAAGGATCTAGGAAGGGGCAGCAGAAGACAGAGAGAGAAAAGGTCAGCGGCCGCCGGTGTCGGGGGCAGCACGTTCTGAGATGAGGACTCGAGAGCTCAGCCGGCCCAGGGATGAGCAGCACGTCCGGGGCTGAACACAGGTGACAGGCTGATGGCAGGGGCCCCTTCAGTGAGGGAAGCAAAAGGCAAGCAAGGGGGACAGTGACCGCAACAGTCCTCTCAGCCTGGAGGGAGAGACGGCAGCGCACGGAGGGAGCTGGGGTTTTAGTTTTCCGGCTTGTAAGAAAGGTGAGGCTTGAGGCCATTTGGTCGCTCTTGGAAGGTAACCAGTGAACAAAAAGCCCACAGAGACAAAAGCAGGGAAGGGAATCACCGAGCTCACATTCAAAAGGAGATACTTCCAGCAACAACCCGAAGAGGACTTAGTTACAAATAAGTAAGAGACTTCCCCACACCTGTGTTACTCTCGCTCTGTTTAACACTTTCTAGCTGATTATTTACTTACTAATATACTTAAGAACAACCTCCTTCCACAAAGAACTTGAAGTGGCTAACAAAACAAAAAGCACAAAAACTAAACTGTATCACAAAATTGTAAACGAGATGTGGGGATTCGGGCTAAAAGGAATATGGGTAGAAAGATCATGAAGCCAGGTATAAGAAACATGAACAAAGACATGCATTTGCTAGAAATGGAGCAAGACTTGGCTCAGGGCTTCCTAGTGAGCAAAGCAAAGAGACAAACACAAAATCTCACAAGTCCCAGAATATCCAAAGCAAAGGCAGACGAGCGCGCCAGGACAGAGCGCCGCCTCTTCAATCAAGCCAGGGAAGAAGTTTTTCTCACAAAGATGACACAGGGAGGGAAGCAATGCCTTCCTTACAACCTGTCAACAACTGATGAAACAATACATTTCAAACACCTGTTTCTTAAAATGTGCCCCAATATATCCTAAAGGGAAATGATACCAGATGATTAACTTAGGTCCCAAGAATGCAG